TTTGAGATCCTTTTAATGCATAAACTTAATGTATAATGTATAATTTAAAATTAAAATAATTATGTAAAACTTTAAAACAACTTTTTAGTTTGTTTATTGTCAGCTCTATTTTGAGATCTTTTTAATGAGTAAACTAAAAATATATTTTATTAAATTATGTAAAACTTTATTTTGAAAGTTCAAAACTAAATCAAATTTTTTATTTGTTTCTCTTTTTTAAATATCTTTTTTCTAATAGGGCGAAATTATGTTTTGATGTGCTGCTTAGATTTATTGCCATTTGATTCTATAAGCAATAATGGGATGACAGATTTTCTAAAGGTTTAAAATTTAAATAAAATGATTATTAAAAAATAAACTGCCTAAAAAAATAGAAATATAAGATAATTGATTCCTCATCAGAATTGCCTAATAGGACAACTATTAGTCGGGGAGCACTTGATGATGTTTATTGTTCTATAAAGGCACATGTTTTAAACCTGATTGATGCTGGTCCAAAATTCTGTTCCATTACTTTTGATTTATGGACCGATCATTTCAAGCGGCGAAATTATATTACATTTAGTCTTCATCATTTAGATGATATGCCGTATTAATTCCATTCCGAGAGTCGGTGGAATTTCTTTCCTCCCAAAAGGGATCGACTATAAATCTAGGGTTATTATTTCGCAATGAAATAGAAACCCACATACAGATCAATATATCTGATTCCTCAGATATTATTTGTTTAAAAGAAAATATGCAAAAAAAGCTTGACCATAGGTTTCCCATTACTGAACTTCAAGTTATTTTATATTTTTATTAATAAAATTATATTTTGAACATTAGATATTAGCGACTCTCCTTGATCCCAGATTTCAAAATCTGAAAATTGTGTCAGAATATTTAAATTCAAATTCTACTATTCATTGCAATTTTTAACAAGACATTTAAAACTTTTAGAAAATGATAAAAATGCACAAAGTGAAATCCAAGTTGAAGATAATGGGGAGACTTCCAGTTCTTATATCGCCAAAATAACTCGTAAACATTCCATTCCAGGCAGTGATTATAACAATATAAGTAATTTAGAACAAGAATGCCATATTTTGCTAAGCCAAAATAATATCCCAGAAGAGGATGCATTAACCTTTTGGAAGAAAAAGCAACTGGAACTTCCTAGGCTTACTAATTTAGCTAGGAAGGTTCTTTGTATACCTGCAACCAGTACACCCAGCGAAAGAATTTTTTCCATTGCTGGATTAATACTCAATGCAAAAAGGACTTCTTTATGTCCCACTAATCTTGATAAAATTCTATTTATTCATGATAATTATAATTTAGCTAAATCTGAATTCTGATTTATTATATTTCTTACTTAATATTTTGTTTGCATTCCAAATATATATTTGTTATAATAAAAATCAATAGAATATTACTAATATGTGTTGTTTATGTGACTCTGATCTGAGTGAAAATGCAATTCCTTAGTCTATTTCTGAGAATGAGAAAATACATGAATTTAAATTGAAGTGAGACAGTAAATAATTTAAGAAATAAACTATGTTAACAATGTGTTAGAAAAGAGCGCCAAATTATAAAAAAATGTAATACATTTCGGCGCGCCTCCGAACGCCGATAAAAATTTTTAAAAAAACCGCCGCCGTCAATTGAGACATCGGCGCACAGGTCTAATTATATATAGGAAAATAAATTATTATAAAAAGTTCTCATCTTATAATATATTATTTTTGTATAATTGTATTTATATTAGATATAGGAAATATGTATATATAATATTTAGTTATTTAAGTAACGAGTAATTTTTTACTTTATAAATAGCCATTTATGCGCGTTCTTTTTTTTGGCGTAATGAGTTAACAAAAATCCCATGTGTTGAAAAATATCCTGTATCGCTTCATTTTTGTGTTTTTCTGAAGCCTTTAGGCAATGCCTAATTAACTAAACATCAGGCATTTGCACACATTTACTATAAAATGTTTTAAGTCATTTTTTAATATAACCTCGCTTACTTTTCTATTAGAACATCAATCTTTAGCACACAACTAAATTTTTACAAATCATATATTATATTATAAAAACTCTTCTCCAATTTTAGTTAAACCAGTTTTAATATAATTTTATCTCTAAAAGAGTATCTTTAAACCGTCTGAAAATTAAACTTAAATTTAATATTCATTTTAATGAAGTTTAATCATTGGCGTAAGCAGCGGGGGGGGGGCAGGGGGACAAATCCCCCCCCCCAAAGCCAAAAAATGCAGATACCGGATATATTTTTCAAAAATATTATTGTTTATATTAATTTATATTTGTTAATATTTATTCGTATCTCATATTAAATATATATTTAATTACATTTATTATCACATTCATAAGTTATTTTATCAATTAATTTCGATTTCAAGTTTTCCAGCGTAATATTTACTTATTATTTTCAAATTTTTAGTGGCGTAATATTTATCTACCATTTTCAAATTTCTAGTCAAATAATAATTATTTCTGAAACTTCTGGTCCAACAAGGAAAAAGAAATTTCAACCTTGTCCAACGAGATAGAGTCTCTGCCATCAAGCAGTAACAGCTTTTAAGGAGTTAGAAGAGCTAATTATTTGCTATTACTGAAATATCACAATGGCCTGAAAGAAATATTCCTCAGAAGCAAGAAAATTATTGGGTTCAATGCTTATTCCAAATTTTATTTCCCATTAGAATGTATTGTTTAATTATACAATTATTTTAAGTATTACTTTTCAAAAACATGACATTGATTTGATTAAGAAGACGAGAATAGCGGAGAGCATTTGATCAGAACTCAAGGAAATTAGGGCTAATGTTGATGAAGAATTTCATATTTTATATTTTATTGTTGAGTCAAAGGCAGCTATACGTGTTTAATATTTGTCTCCTTCGACTTGTAGCAAGGCAAGCTCATCGTTAAAACATTAATATAGGATCAGTAGAAGAGTATATCTTAGATACAGATACATTTATAATATAACCCAAATAAATAAATTTTTAATTCATCATGCAGCACTTACTAATCTGCAAATATTACTTCCACAAAAGCCTTCCCAACCTTTTTCAGATGGTGATAGAAAAAAAAATTTTTTTAGATTTTTATTATGAAGATGTTAAAGTATCTTATGATGCCTTACTACCTGGATACTATGTTTATAAGATTAACTATGGTTGATATAGTCCCAAAAAATGTTATGGATGCTCTGCATTATTTCAAACACATTTTAGATTAAATTCCCAATGTATTAATTAAAAGGGTTTATAAACTCTTCCCATTAGTAAACTAATGAGAAAACATTCTCTTTTTTAAGAAGAATAACAGAGGCCTGCAGAAGTACCATTTGCAGGGCACGGGCCGGATTTTTTTAAAGATTTTTTACGGCCCGGCCTAGGCTTTTTAAAAAAATTTGTTAGGACCGGCTCGGCTTTTTTTTTAAATATTTACAGGCCCCGGCCCGGCTTTTTTTAAAATAAAATTTTCAAGCCCGGCCCGATTTTTAAAAAAATAAATTATATTTATTTTTGATTTTTATAGTTAATAATAATGATTTTAAATATAGGCTGTTTTAAAAAATACAGCCCGGCCTGGGTATTTTATAAAAAATAATTCCGGCCCTGCTTGGGTGTTTTTTAAAAAAATTCAGGTCCGGCCGAGGTGTTTTTTAAAAAAAAATTTAGGCCCGGCCCTGTTATATTTAAAAAAATTAAAATACTGTCCGGCCCTGAGTGGGGCCTGCAGACCTCTGAAAAACATACCAAGAGGTACTACATCTGAAAGTAGATTGAAAGGTTTGGATCTTTTGAATATACATAGGCATTTGACGACCAGCAAGGATGAGATAATTGAAAAATTAACTCAATCCCAACGAAGATTGGATTTTACATTGTAAATATATAATATACAAAATACAATTATTCCTAAGAAACTTTTTGTGTAAAGGCTCAAAAAATTCAAATTTCTATTTTGTGTCATTTAAGTGATTCTCTACATATAATTTTTTTATAATTCACATTAATTTAAAATTGTGTATTATGAATAGTTATTAGTCCTAATAAATTTATGCTTGATATTTTTAAAAAACAATAATATTTCTTAAAAAATTTTATTATCCCCCCCCCCCCAGACCAAATTCCTGCATACGCTCCTGAGTTTAATGCTTATTATTTTGAACGCCTGTTCATCTTCTACATGACAGGATATTCAAGGATGCAAACTCCCTCAAATACCTATACCTATTTCCCTAAAAAATTTGCCACCATCAGAGTCGTCTACTTTATTAATTATAACTTTTTAATCCTTCGTAAATTTTAAAAAGAATAATATATTTTTAAAGTTCTATTAGAAATTTTCAAAATATCATGAACGTAAAAGTTTATTAGAATATGAATTAAATTTAAAAAAAACCTCATTTTTACAATGAATGCATTATTATAGTATATATTTTAACATCAATATGAGTTTACTGATAAAATCATTAACCTATTTTTTTACTTATAAAAATAGAGCAGAAACTGATCCAGAAATTGCTATTTGGAAAATAATGTCTATGATTTGAGCAATATATAAATTTGGTCGATTCTTAGGAATATAATTTTATTATAATAGCCCCAATAAATTTTGCCCTATTTCTTCTAAAGATTTAATAGATAACCCTCTCCCTCAATAATTTATCAGATTTAATAGATAACCCTCTCCCTCAATTATTTATCTCAAAAATATTGGATACAAACTGTTCCTACCTCCACAGCTCATGTAGACGCTGCATCTGTCTATTTTCCAAATTAAGCAGCACATTTTTAAAGGATGTGTATCTTTCTTTATTATTTTTTTATAAATATAATATTTATTTATCTCAGCCCTGTTAATGACAATATTATCTTCATTTTTATATCTGTAAAACAATATAAACTGAATTATATTAGCATATGTTTAAAAATATTTGTTACTTAAATATTTGCATACATTTGCTGTATTTTATTTATTAACAGCAAAATATAAAATAATTTATTAAATATATTTGTATTTAATTTTTTAATATCTTAAAAGCATCTGATCTTATTTTATAAAACATATTTCCTCGGTCAACTCTACAGCATGGTTGTAAGATTATATCATAATTTATACATATAAATTATCTTTAAGGTAAAAAAACCCAAAAAAGATGAGAAGAGTAATATTATGCGAGAGCTTAAGATAAGAAAGTTGTGTTTAAATATATGTGTTGGCGAATCGGGAGATCGATTGACAAGGGCGTCTAAAGTTTTAGAACAATTAACCGGACAACAACCAGTTTTTTCAAAAGGTATATTTAAGAAAATTAAAAAAATTTAATTTTTTTTTAGCTCGCTATACTATACGTTCATTTGGAATTAGAAGAAATGAAAAAATTGCTGTTCATTGTACTGTTAGGGGTGCGAAAGCAGAAGAAATTCTTGAAAAAGGACTTAAAGTTTTACTTTTATACCATTCAAGCTTTTAGAACGATGTTTTTAATTTGTATATAGGTTAAAGAATACGAGTTACGAAAAAGTTGCTTCTCAGGCACTGGTAATTTTGGTTTTGGAATACAGGAACACATTGATTTGGGCATTAAATATGATCCGAATATAGGTATTTATGGCCTTGATTTTTTTGTTGTTATGGGTAGACCTGGTTTTAACATCAATGAGCGCAAAAGAAAAACATCTAAAATAGGTGCAAAACATAGAATAACTAAAGAGGAAGTTATGAAATGGTTCCAGAAAAATGTAAGTATTATATAATCATATAATTAATTAATCTATAATGAATTTATTTTAATTTTTTATATCAATATTTTTAGTATGAAGGCATTATCCTTCCTGGCAAAAAGAAATGAAAGATAATATTATATTATTAAATATATGTAATGATTGATATATTGTAATATTATAACATAATGCATATTTAGAGGAATTGATTGGTTAATAAACATATATTTATCCTTATACCTGTGAAAAAGGCATTTAATTAAAAAACCAATATATATCAAATTAAAAATAACATGTATCTAAGAAATATAATTTGCATACAAATTTTTGACCAACCCTTTCAATCCTGTTAAAAGTTGTATGAAGGTGATAAATGTTATAGTTAGATCCAAAACAAATTTTAACTTTTTAGTTTTTATATTACATGTGATATTAAGGGTTATAAATGAAAAGTGACATCTATACCTCTTTGAATTTTAGCTCAATTTTAAAAAAAATTAAATTTTATATTATGATAAGTAACTAGATAATTAATAATAATGGGCTGGAGGCAAAATAATTGTATGGATCTTATGTAAAACTTGAAATTTAACCATTATTATGCCTTTGATATTTAGTTTTTTCTATTGCATATAATAACTGATTACCTAATGTTTCCTGTAATAATTTCTCTGGCCAAAATTTTCACAAATAATATAACCAAAAATATAAAAATGATGCTATATTTTAATATTCTAATTAGTCAAGGTCAACGTTCTCTATCAGTCTTTGACCAGAGCTGAACCAATTATTTTTGAGACTACATCTGGACAGATCATATTAGGTTCAGATAGGTTATTAATGTATATGCCTTACTACTCAATTAATATATTTTTTGTTATTTTATTTTATATTTTTTATAAATTTTTAATTCATTTATTTTGCAATATGAAAATCATATTTGTTAAAGAAGGGAAAAATGGAAATATTTTTAAAATATAAAAAGACCAGTTTTTATTTAACACCACATGCTTAATTGATCTATTTTACCCTTAGACCCCAAGAATCAATAAATTAATTAGTAGCTTTCATATTTAAAAAATAATTAAATAAACTATAAGTTAATGATTTATCAGTTATTTGAATAATTTAATTCTATTTTGTCAAGGGAGTCAAAAAAGTGACAAATTATCTTTAAATGTTATATAAAAAATATAAATAAAATTGATGTAGAAATCTTAATATAATATAACTTTTCATTAATAAAAGGATATATTAAAATGTGTTTATTTATGCTAAAACAGATGAAAAAAGTTACACAGATGAACACATGGGGTATATTTGACCCTAAGCTCCAAAATCCCCTTATATCAAAATTAATTTTTTACATACTTTATCTAAAAATATTAAGCTACTAAAAGATTCCTGCTATCAAAAGAATTTTAAGTAATAACCTATTTAAAATGACTGTGGTCTGCATAGTCCCACCTGTACAATGAAAGGTTAAGAACCATAGTCCAATCTGGCCTGAGTGTATTGGTCCAAACTAAAGTTCACTTATTCTAATGTAGTCAAAAGATTTTTTCACTGTTATATAACATTTAAAAACACAATAGTCTATCAACTGCTTGTGAATGGCATTTTAGCTGGAAATAATTATGGGCATATTTAATTTTTAATCATTTGATTGGGTGTTATTTGTCAACAAATTATAATAATCTTTTCTGTTTGAAATTTGTTGTCGATAAAAAAAATTAAATAGCTCTGAATTTTAAAATATTAAAAAAATTCTTTAAATCTAGTACAGATAGTAAATTTTGATATTCATAAAAGTACAAATAGTAAATTAAATATGAATAATGTGCTATTCTTTAAGGCCTAAGTTCAACTGAACCTTAAATCACAGCTTATCTATTATTTATACTAGTTTGCCTATAATGAAATGGCTTCCAAATTTAAGGCCATCAATGAAAATGATTAAATTTTATTAAAAACAATCATTGTTGAATAGATTTTATTCAATAAAAATTTAATTCTACTGAACCCGAATCTTTTTTTGACCGTTTTATTTTGTCCCCTCAATAATTTATCTATTTAAACCAATTCTATAAAGTTACTAGCTAATTGACTGCCCTTGCGTTTTGACCATATCTAGGTTTTACTAATATATTAACATTATTAGCACCCCGTGTCAATAGCACAGCAAAAGTTTTTTTTCTTGAAATTAACTCGTTTCTATTTTAACTGAAAAGTAAAGAAGTAAGGTAACAATTTTTTTTCTGCATGTTATAGTAAAAGCAAAGACATCATATTTTTATAATAACGTTTATAAGCACGGCTTATTCTATGAAATTATATATATGTTTAGCGTCAATCTGTTTTTTTTTCCTGCAATGCTTTATTTTTACTAGTTTAAATCATTTTTTGAGCGCGTTTTTTATAAAATTTTAAATCAAATTTTACCGGAATTATATTCTATCATATTTGGAATACCTATCTAATGAATTGTAGAAAATTTTATTGTTAACCTTTGAGTCATATAAAATATATATGGAAAATTTAATATAAAGTTTAAAAGTTCTCTTGGAAAAATTGACTGAAATTTATAGAGTAGGTATTCCAAACATGACGTCGTACATTTCCGGTAAAATCAGATTTTTAAAAGCGCACTTAAAAAATGATTTAATGTTGAAATATAATACATTGACGGTAACATATATTCTATCCGAATATCAGTTCTGTAAATCCAATATTTTATAGAACATAGCCTCATCGCTCCAAGAATGGCTCGACTTTGCATAACCGCGTATGTTGAATTTTTTTTTGTACACCTAATTTAGTGACACTATAGCAGTTGACACTGAAATAGTAATTTAACGTATTTATACCCGTTTTCTTATTCTAATAATTGGATTATAGTTAAATTTTAAAAATAATTATATCACGTAAATGATGGCCCATCATATATCAAACTAAGCTAAACTAACCTGATTATATGTATATAATATGTTAAGGTTAAGCCTTAAGATTACATTAAATTTATACTGGTTTTTAGTCCAATAGAAAATAGTGGATATGTTAACTAGACAGGCATGGCATACATTTCAGTATTAATTTGTTCCATCGAATCATAAAGTTAACGATTTTTTTAATAAAATAAAAATTTAGATCTCATCAATGTTAGTGGGCTTCATGGAAACAATTTTTCTGATTATATTTCACACTTCAATAATGTTGTAGCTATTGAAAAAAAGAATAAATAAATTTAATATAATCAAATGTCAGTTATTTTCTGACAGGGGAATCAATTTTTCTTGAGGGGAGAATGGGAGATCAGAAGATGCCAGCTGGGAAAGAACAAAGAATAGTGGGATTTGAACTATTTTTATGAATATGAAACATTTATAAATTAGATGTGAACATAAATAAAATATGGTATAACATGATATTAAACAATGTGGTTGTCCTAGTTGGTAATGTTTGTTGGGTTTATTTAATTATTAGAATAGGATTGTTTGGGATTGATAAGTTATATACTCTAAAGGGAAGGGTTGAGAGTAAGGGGCATTCATCTATGTTGTTGACAGTATTCCCAGGATAAGAACCTGGAGATTCAAGAGTTATTCGTTATAAAAAGGTAAAAACCATTCTTTTCATATAATTTTGAATTTTACTGTGAAACCACAACGCAAGTACTAACCACTATCTAAGGGTAGGTGAGATTAAGGGGTGAGTTTAAGGAATTCTAGAAGTTTGTTTAAATGTTTAGCTTATAAAGCCTAAGATAGAAAGTATGTAATGAGTATTAGGCCGGAATATGAAAATAAGATCAGGAATTTAAGGCAAAATTGATTATATTATATGTCTAGATGTATATGGTACATCCAATTTTGACATTAGGTATGGTTATTATTTGGTAGGCCTTAAGACTCATTGAATGGTGTTATAGGTATTCCGTCATAGGAAAATTAGACCTCAAGAGAAGCAGGAGAGAAAGGATTGCTAAATTTTTAAATTTGGGAATTTATGAAATATGTATAGAAGTGGATTTTTGTAATGAAGTATTTGTTATATAATTATGCATTTTGGGTTTTTAAAGGGATGGACATGTGTGGGATAGTTTATTATTAATTAATGTTATTATATTGTATAGGTAATTCAGTTTCAATTAAGGTTGATATATTATTAAGGGATCTATTGAGGGTGAGTTAATGTTGTTTATTGTGAAGTAATTAACCATTTTTATGAAATATGGTGTAATGTGAATTACACATATGATATATGTAATTATGAATGATAAATTAAAGGAATTGAGGTATGATGAAGTCAGAATAATATCTATAATGTTATATGTGGATAGTTATTTTTATTTAATGTCTGCATTTGATATATTGGGTATGGATTTATATGATATATTAGATGATGTGTAATATTTTTTTTTTAAATTATGAAATCTTTATATTTAATATATATATATTTTTTGTTAAATTATAAAATTTTATAAAAAGTTTTATTTGCATTTATTATATTATTTTTATGGTATGCAATGATGTGAAGGAATATTTTTACAGATAAGGTCAGCCCGTGTTGATGGGTATGCCTTGAGGTGGCAATATTGCTTAGTTTGTATACTTGTGAAAGTTTTTTTGTGTAAATTTATTTTGCATATTATATTTTTTTTATCTTTGTAATAATTTTATAGCACATCACATTTTACCATTTATATTATGAACATATTTTTTTAAAAAAAAGAAAAAAGACTATTTTATATTGTGAATGTATATTGAAATTTCTTTACATATATACCATATAGCCCATTATATTCTCAATTTTTGTTACTTTGCATTACATTTCTGTGAATCCGTGCTAATTGTGATGACAGAGTTAGGTAGAAATGGATATTTTTCTTTTTTACATGACAGAAGGAAGATTACATGTGGTTGAAATTGCATTTCACACATAAACCATTGGTTTTTACAGTATTATATATAGATTCCCTGTTTTCAAGGCGTACTAATACAATTAAAATAAATGATTCGATACAATACCACCCGAGAGAGAGGGACGCTGAGCTTATGAAGGGTGGGCGTGTTGTAGCTGTTGAAAAAAAGAAGAAATAAATTTAATATAATATTTAAAATGTCAGTTATTTTCTGAAGGAGAATCAATTTTCCTTGAGGGAAGAAGGGAGAATGGGAGATCAGAAGATGCCAGCTGGGAAAGAACAAAGGTGGGATTTGAACTATTTTTATGAATATGAAACATTTATAAATTATTTTGATGTGAACATAAATAAAATATTGCATAACATGAAATTAAACAATGGTTGTCCTATCCCTCAATATTTATTTACATAAATAGTTATTATTACACTAATTATACTCATTGTTTATTTTCTATTGCTAATACTGTAAATTTTATTCGTATTCACAACTTATCCGAAATATGGTTAGACCTCGTAATATTCAAGGAACTTTTGCGGGGAATAGACCCCCCTTGGACACCGCTAACCTACCGCAAGGACAGATTCCGAATTTGGATGGCACTAACCTCATTCTTACGCCAGACAATTCTATGGACACTGTTCCAGTTGATCCCAGTACTCGTGCCATCATCTTAGCGATGAATGTCATTTCTGATCGTATGGCAGCACTGTCAACTCAAGTTAACCAGGATCTACAGCGACAACGTACTCCGTCACCTAGACACACGTCTACCCCGAGGGAAAGACCTCCATTAGTGACTGGTACACAAACCGAAGAAGCGCCGCCGCCGCCAGCTATGCAAGGAACATTGCCCCCAGTCTATCTTGAACCACCTGCCACGTCCGCCGAAGCGTACGACAGACTCATGAAAGTTTGGGCGGGATTACAGCAAGATCTCTTAGAGCCTAGATACTACACCGATACTTTTCCTCTTAGGTAAGATAAAACCATATTTTAAAGAAAATTATTTTTTTTAAAAAAATGACGTTCTTTTGACAAACTTAATTAAGTGCTTAGAAAATTGCCTTTTGCAATACATTTCATTTTTAAGTTGCGTTTAAAGAGTATTTAATTTTTGAAAATTATACTATATCAAGATATAAAAATCACAAATTATATCTAATCTTGATAAATTATTGATTGACCTTTAGAAAAAAATAGATTACCGATGGCATTATGAGATAAAAAAAAAATTACAACAAGATATTCAGTTCCATCACGATAATTATTTATAAATGTTGAAAATCATATTATTATAAATCTTTTATAAAAAAATAGAACGCAGTTTGACGAAATGTTACAAATCAGATATCACTTTGACCAAAAAAAAACTCACGCGTAAAAAAAACATATTATATCACACCGGAATACATGTTCTATTCCAATATTTCAGTAAATTTTTGTATTTCTTTCGCATTACGTGAACGATATCATCGAATGACATATGTTTGTCGATCCAAGCGCTAACGGCTTTATAATCAGTAGCAATTAAATTGTTATTTTTTGGATCGTTTTGATTATTTTCTTCATTTAGCTGCGACATTTGTAAATGGCCGGTCTTGATGCATTGCCTTTTCATTTGCCGAAACCTTTTAAAAAAGAAAATATATATGATGTTTTTAGAACATTTTTTTACACCCAATTATTTTCCCCTTATCTTTTTCTAATAGTATCGCAAAATGCTGTAAATTACCAAGAAAAGTAACACGATACTTCTAAAGTAACGTTTTTATAGTACTGTTAATTTTTATTTATATTTATCCATTCAAGTAAAAAAAAAGAGTAACATTCTCTGAAGGGAGGGTATTTCGTAATCCTTGCGTCCCATATGATCTTTAACGAGATTCCAATCAACGCGCGCTTCGTGGGTGAATTTTCCTTTCATTTCCTTCAGGGTCACCAAGAGAGCGGCCTTGAACTCCGCGTTGACAGCTTTGATCTTTCTAGTCATGTAAGAATTTTCTTGCACGTAAATCACATCGTCGTCCTCCGTTTTCCCCAATTTAGCCGTAATAATGTTTTCACGATTTACGCTCGTATCATCTTCATAATCGTTAACGTTCTTTTCCGTTATTTTCATCTTTTTCCTATTTTCATTCTTAACGCTTTTTGGTGTAATCGTATCTTTGACAACTTCGCTTTCGTCCTCAGCGTCGTTTTTGGATGATTCCTTGGTGTCACCAAGAGTTCCGTCGCTGAGATCGTTCCCGTCACTGCCAGCGAACTCGGGCAAGCAACTGGCAGAATTTTTCCTGTATAGATTAGCCATGATATCGGGAAATTGGATAAATTTGGGCAACAAACGTTGAAACCTTTTTTTTAAAAAAAAAATTCTTAATATATTACGGGGTTCAAGAGAATTATAACAAACCCGTTTTTTAATCTTTTTCGGCAAATATAACGCGCCATTTTTTAAAAATATTTTTGAAAGACCACCCTACTCGGTGAATTTCGGACAATTATACCGCGAACTTTTGAGCTACTCTTAAATTTATATTTATTTTTGTACACACAGAGATTTTCCATTTAAAAAGATTATAAAATAGTCCAAAAATTTTGGGGTAATTGTCGGAATTTCGCCGGGTAGATTACTTTATAAGTGATGGAATACGACAATTCCGGGCTAAAAATTAGGGCCTCAAAAAATTTCTGAAAAAGCTTGGAAGAATGAAAACATCACCATGCGTTAACAACCCCCCCCCCCCCGCCCCCATCTTCATAGTTAGCGCGAATTCGCGGGGATGTATATAAAATTCGAAGAATACAAAAAATAATAATGCATATTTTTGCATACTTCGCCACGATTTCGCGCCAACTGTCAAACCAAATTGCAGGGAGGGCTTACACCTCATTTTAACTCTATTTTACATTTATAAAGATTTCGCCATTCGCTTGTTGCCTTGATCTAGTAGAAGATTTCAGCCAAAAAATAGTATTATTGTAAGCCTCGGGATTTGGCAAATAGATTATCAAGACCTTTCCTGCCATCTATGAACAAAAATTCCGAGGCTTACCTAACGTTCTGTTAAAATCTTAGTCAAAATCTACCCGAATTGGGCTTTTTCAAAAACACAGCCTTTGATCCTGGAATTCATTTTTTGTATATAATCAACTTTATTAAAAATTATTAATTTTTGGATATAATCAAACTTTATTAAAAATGATTTTTTTGGATATAATAGTTATATTAAAAATGATTTTTTTGGATATAATCAAACTTAAATGATTTTTTGGATATAACTATTAAAACTGATTCTTTTGGATTTTTTTTTGGATATAATCATACTTTATTAAGAATGATTTTTTGGAATATAATCATCTTTATTTAAAATTATTAATTTTTGGATATAATCAACTTTATTAAAAAATAATATATTATCAAAATTAAAGGGTATATCAAAAATCTGAATTATAATTTTTGAACTGTTTATGTATTTATACAATTTGTTAATACTAAAATTAACTCAGATGTTTTTTTTTCTTATTTTGCCTTTATACATTAAAAATAATTTTTTATTTATATTATTAAAATATAGTACCATCTTTAATTTGTTTTAAACATATTTACTTGGGAAACATTAGTCTATCAGTTAATAAACAATATAAAATAAATCTGCAGAAATTTCAAGTCCTAGTCATATAAATTTTGTATAAAACTTTCTACTGGACATAAGATGACCCACGTTATACAAAAAAATTATTATTATAATTCATTTAGTTTTTTTTCAAATTAATGAAGCTAATTATTTAAAATCCAAGAAAAGAGGTAATTAAATGGCGTTTTTTGTGACTTTAAAAACTATATCTTGCAGTTTAAATTTCATTTCTGTTCAAAATACAATGTAAACATATAAAAATTTATATAAATGTTGATATTAAAAGGGTGATTCAAAAAATGGCTTTTATTTTTCAATTTTTCATGGAATTAGTCCTAAGTTTTTATAATTAATATTTTCAAAGAAATGCTAAAATTTTACCTTCCTTGAATCCTGTTCTTCAATCTAATATTGTTTTATTGAACCAATTTATAAGAGATAGGATTATTATTTTAAAAAAATGACAACATTTGCACTATCTCTAGGAATGGACAGACAAAAAAATGCCTAAGGCAGGGTTCTTACATATTATAAGGTAAATTTGAAATGAGTGGTTGTATCATTATTGTTTAAAATCCTCTAATTGATCTTAAAATGGAGGAACATAAACTCTTAATATACATAAAACATTCCCCCCTCCCCATTATGTTTTTGAAATTTTGATCACTAAGTTTATTTAAAAAAAAATTAAATGATTTAATATTGATAAAACACATATATTAGCACTTTCTAAACAAAACAAAATTTTATTTTTATGGGCACCATTAAATTTGAAAAAACCATTTTATATCTGAGTCCTAATAAGTGTTTTGTAAATTTTGCTTTATCAAATATGAAAATACAATTGTACATAATTTTTTTGAAAGAAAAAGAAAAAGAAATTCAATCAATAATATAATTATCAAGATTTCTTAGAACTTACCATTGAATTCGACATTGAATAGGACTCCTAGTTTTAACTAAATTGGAAACATCTTTCCAGGATATGTATCGAAAATCAGAATCTAAGATACTTTTGATAAAATGTTTGTTGATTTTTTTCTTTTTAAGGGTATTTGAATTTTGAGGAAGACAATTTCCTAATTGTTTAATTTGAAAAATGGCCCTGGTTAAATTCCTTTCTTCACTTTTGGACCACTTTTTTGAACCTCTCAAAATATATGGAATATTATAGTAAATAAAAAAAAATTTTAATATATTTTAAATTACTGTAAGTTTTGGTGTTTCTCATATAAATCTCTCTAATTGAATCAGGTTTTAAATTTAATTGAGCAGAAATTTGTGTCCATCTAGGCCCATTTATTTTATATAGGTGTTCTATTTTTTTAATATCCTTTTTTGTAGCTGTGCCTTTAGTTTTCCGAAATATCTTTCTTTTTGCTCTCCAATAAATATTTTCAACAAAACGATTAATTCCTTTGCCTTTTTATAAAAATTAAAGTTTAAAAAAAATTTGATGATTTTTACCCAATCTTTCATATAGATTAGTTTGGCGAATAAACCTACGAACTTCCAAATTGCAATCCCATTTTACTGGATTAAATATAACCTGCTCACTTCCAATTAACTCTGGATAATCCTTTAAAAAAATTTTCCAATTATCAAGGATGATTTGATCTTCAGTGGGTGACCATTTTCCTATGGTAACTTCCCTATCTAAATAATAAATTTCACAAATATATTCACAAATAAGGACATACCTATATTGATTTTTTGAGTTTTATAAGGAAAATTTGAATATAGTGATGAATCTGGATTTTTTTCATAGTCTTAAATAGGAAATTGTGATCTTTCGAATATATAAAATATTAACTTTTATTTTTAAGAAAATTTATTATCTTTTCATAATTCAAATTTTGATCTAATCTTTCATCTTCTTCTTCACATTCCATATCCAATATCTCATCATCTTGCTCGCATTTCATCTGTTAATTGTATTGTAATCGCCTATGTAACAAATTTGAGAATTGACAGGTAAACTGAGAATGGACAGTAAAAATAATTTTAATTTATAGAGCCATTTCAATTTTTTTTTTATAAAATTTCATTATTTCATTATTTTTAGAGACACATGATATTTATTAAATTGAAAAAAGAATTACATTGCGATTATATATTTATAAATTTTCACTTAATATAATATTCTTTTAGGATATAATGTTTAATGTTATTTAAAAAAATGAAAATGAAATAAGTTAAATCTCATTATATTTTATAAAAGTTCATTCAAATATTGTAATTATTATAAATTATTATATTTATATTATATTTTTATAATAATATAAATTTATTATAATTACTATTTATAATTATTATTTTATAAGCGGCATCAATATCTTTTAGTACTAACTTTATCGTCTTTGTCCTTGTTATCCGTATCGATACCATTAACGTGTTGATTTGATAGACCATGTTATATAATAGAAATATTACTAAATTAAAGTATTATTTAATTTATATTTGGTAATTATATAGTATTTAATAGTTTCATTTTAATTTGTTTATATACATACTTATCTTTTTAGTATATTCAATTTAATTTGCACATTCAAAATTAGGAGTTAAAGAAACCTTATAATATGGAAAAAAATTTAAAATTGCAGGAGATTTCCAATTGTGGGGGTTTGATTTCTGTTTTGGCTAAGATACGGAGATCACATACTGATGGGAGGAGACATAGCAACCCTGGGATTGCACAAACTTACAAAGATCATCTGACAATTGTTAATTTTCTTCAAAAACTTTAAAAGAACTCATAAATTTTTTAGTAATAAATAATAAAAAATTCTATCTTTAATAGATAAATTTATAGACTGAATGTAATATATATTATTTTTTATTTACTTTATTCAAATTTATTCTACTGTATATATAATGAATTTGATACCTGAAGAGAGATAAAAATATTTTTTCATATTTCTTATTATTTTAAAATAAATTTAGACACCAACTCCCTGCCTACCTCGATAGAGATAAAAAATTAAAATAACTTTATTTATTAATATTTTAACAGATAATAGAATATATAGAGGTGACTGAATTCTTAGAATTAAACTACATTTTGAAATACGCTTTTAAATTCGAATCTCTTTAAAGTTTGGGATTTAAAATTTATAAAGCAAGCATAAATAATTTCTGTTCACTTTTAAGCAGTTTCCTTGCGAAATGTCCATTTTTTAGTTTCTTAAAGGCTTTTCATTATTGGAATATATTTTTAAAGGCATACCTTTAGACCATTGTTTTTATTTATACAATTATTTTTATTTATTACATTTTTACACATCTTTACATCTTCACCTTTTTTTTTATGAAATTATTAATTGTTTTTTTTAGGTTTTTTTAGAAATATATTAGATTAAATATTTTAAATATTACGTTATAAAATCTTAACTGGGTTCATGGAAGTGTAAATTTCATATCCTTTGCTCTATTTTTCTAATTTTATTTTTGGCATTTAATTTGATGAACAATGTAATAATATTTTTCTTTATCACTCTCAAAGATTAGAAGTAAAATTATCTTTCGTTTGTCAAAACCTATTTCGCACACAGTTCTTGTAGCTTAAATAATTTTTCAATTAAAGAATTTCTTATTATATTCTCATCGAATCCCTCCTTTTGAAATGTAATGCAAATTTGTGATTATTTCCATTTCCTTTACAAAAAATTAATTTAGAAGATTATTAAATGCCAGGCAAATAATTTTTTGGCCCATTCCAAAAAAAACCTTCTTAAAAAACATAAACCTATACTGGCATTGCTCTACTTATTTCCAATTTCTTAGTATCTAGGCAAAGCTTATCAAACATTATAACAATTATAATTTTAGTTAGTAAAAATGACATTAAAAAGTAAATAACGTTGAAAATAAACTTCTCCTTTTTAATTTTATTTAAATTTAATTTTGTTCCTTTTTAAAATAATTTTCATGTTCTATATTAATCAGAATATAAAATATGATCACTTATTTCTCTTGGGCTTGCATCATAAAAAGTTTCTTCAGCGATGAACGCTTTTAAAGTTAATTTTGCGTATTTGTTTTTGTTGCACATCTTATTAAAAAAGCCCACCTCGTTAACTAATTGGACTTTAAGTATATATCATGTTTAGTAAACCGAAAAAAATTGCCCTTGGAACATATTAATTATTGAAAAAAATTAATATATATACAAATTACATAACTGCTTATTCAAGATATAACATTGAATTTGACCGGTTAAATATAACTTCGATCAATTTATCCTTGCGAATTATGGTGATAAACATTTTCAATAGGGATAAATTAACCAGATATTCCAATCTGAACTTAAACCGTTGACCCGGTATTAACCATTACAATTCACCAAACCAAATTCAAGCCTGAACCTTTAAATATTGCCACTCGAACCTAAATCGAACATATAAAAAGGGCTGTAAACTGGTTTGAACCTTTTGGTAACCCTGTTAAATAATTAGTAATAATCGGTTTTGATTGCTGAGGGTAATCATTTTAAAATATTTTTACATAATGGTATTTGACCGTACCTGATACCATAGTTATCCTATAGTAGTGCTCTCAACCATAGAATTTATTCTCTCTTCTAATACATATATTTTTTACACAATAAAAAATGTTCATCTTTTTACATTTTTCTAGCACGTTCGTCTGTGAAAAGTTTCGAACAGGGTTTTAACGGGTTCAACTAGGGACCGATATAGTGAATCTTTATTTATGAATAAGGCTGAACCTATATCTTCACGGTTTGGATTTGAAATACTGATTATATAATACCAGAGATTTCGTTATAAAAAAAATTAGATCTTAATGTTTATCTTAAGATATATTTTTTCAGCGCATGTTCGGTTACTATAAGGAAAACAATAAAGAATAATTCTGGTTTGTTCGGTTTTAACTAAATTATCCACTAAAATTGGCAAAATTTGGGGGATTTCCCGCAATTCTCTTTCCTTCGGATACACCCATGAATTAGTATTGTTAAACGGCTAGTTTTGAGCCGATTTCTAAAAACGGCTAACTCAATATTTAACCCAGAAAAATATTAAGAAAGCCTGAATATTTTACTGCTCATAAAGGAACAAAAATCTAGGCATATATTATCGAAATTTCAAGGCTTAGGCAATATTTTCCTGTCTAAAATAATGAGTTCGTTTAACAACACTACCTATGATATTAGAATTGATAGGGTAGAAAATAAAAATGTAATGCAATATAATTTAATCGTAATTTAAAATGTGGCCATACAATTTTTGAAATAATATAAATATAAGGTTTTTAAAAAATATATTCAAGGTTTATGCACAAATATGTTTTCAAGGGTTATAAGGAAAGCGATAAAAATATTTTTTTTAAAGTGAAGAAAACTTATAATTTGAAAATATGTTTATGTCAGTGCTATTCTATAAACCGGGCTATCTTTCTTAAAAAGTTTGCGCAACATAGAAAGGGTTAAGGATACCGGAGTCCCTTGTGTAGTGTGTCCAATGTATACACTCCTTATATCTGTTTTATTTTGTAATAACATTGCACACTTAAAATATTAGAATTATATAATTTTTTAAAGGTTGGGTTTTGGGTTTAATAATAATGATCACTTTGAATTTCACTACTCAAGATGTTTTTTAGTTAACTTGTTTTAAACGTTTTAGCCAAAATGATTATAAATTGACATTATTTATTTTTTTTCCCAAAATGGATTTCCCTTTAGCTTCGGGATTCCTATTTTCCATTTTTGACATAAAAATGTCGACGGAAAAAAATAATTTTAGGTTAAAAAAATATATATATAACAAAAATTAACATTTCCAGATAAATAAACATTAAATAGATCTTCAATTAAGAGTTAGTTTTTTAAATTAGTGATAATTAAATATTTATTTTGTAAAATGTTTTGCCTTAAAGGAAAAATATATTAGTCATTTATGTTCCATAAATTTAAAACTCGGTTAGTCTTAGTGGACATTTTGTTTTATATATAAATTTAAATTTATGATTTAATTGAAAAATAAAGAATTTGAACCATCCTTTGTAGATGTTAAGCTTGTTGTCCCAATTGTCACAATTAAGTTGGCTAAATAAAATTAGATCAACAAAATTGGGCACATTGCTCGAGTCTGTAGAAAAGAAATATTGAATTTTATTAATAATAAAACAAACGAATATAATCCAGAATTTTGGGTGGATGTCAAAATAAACAACAGCGATATAAGAATGGAATTGGATACTGGAGCTAGAGTCAGTATAATTAACGAAATAGATTGGAAAAATAAACTTAATCATCCTGAATTAACAAATTGCATGCTAAAACTTAAAAGTTATACAGGAACCAATATACCACTATTAGGTCAAACTGTAGTAAAAGTACAATATAAAGGGCGAACATTAGAACTACCTCTCATAATTACAAAAGGATATACCAAAAATCTAATTGGAAGAAATTGGATAATTTAATTTCCCAAAATGACTGAATTACCTGAAAGGACCTTACAAATAAATAATATTAAAATACAAAATGAATTTCCTCAAATATTTACCAAAGAATTAGACTGCTTGAAAGATTATAAGGCACAAATATATATGAAACGAGAAACCAATTTTCTGTAAATCACGTCCCGTACCATACGCATTAAAATAGTTGAAGAAGATTTAGATAAATTGCAAAAAATAGGAGTACTAAAGAAAATTAATCATTCACTTTATGCATCACCCATAGTAATTGTTCAAAAGAAAGATAAAACATTAAGAATTTGCGAGGATTTTAAAAGAACTATAAATCAAAATATTAATATTGATTCATATTCAATACCAAGAATTCAAGATTTATTAGCCAATTTGGGAAAAGGAGAGGAATTTTCAAAATTGGATCTCTCAGATGCCTATTTTCAAATTAAAGTGGAGGAAGAGTCTCAAAAATATCTTGTAAATCAATACGCATAGAG